CCGGGCTGTGTTGATTCGCTTAAATTTGGGTAAAACTCACTTTTTCTTCATGTAGTTTACAAGCAGGAAGGCCGTAGCTGTATATTTGAGAAGTCCACTGACAGCTGACATCTGGGTTTTCATTTATATTTCACCTAATCCATGAGATTAAAAAAATTTTTCTGATAAACTTTACCCGAGGAGCCCGGTGTCGTCGGCTCTGGGGAATGGCGAGGTCCAAGTAGGCCAGTGGAGAATTTGAACAGTAGCCTTTCCGGCTGCCCCTCCGGGCTGTGCCCTAGAAAACAGTCACTCGGCAGCACTTCCTAGAAACCGCGGAGACAGGAGTGACACTGTCCCATCCTCGGTGGCAGCGATCCTGAATCGCCTCTTTGTACAAGACCATCCCATGGACACCGAGCCCTCAGTAGGTCATTCACTGCCCCGAACGCCCTCCAAATGGAAATTCCCAGGTAAAGTCTTAACAGGTGAAGATAAAGGAGTATTTTTTGTTGTTGTTAATCTTCACCCGAGGATATTTTCCCATTGATTTTTAGAGAGAAGGGAGGGGGAGAGACAGAGAGAGAGAAACATCATTGTGAGACACACACCGATTGGTTGTATCCCATATGCGCTTGGAACAAGGCCGGGGATCAAGCCTCCAACCAAGGTACGTGCCCTTGACCGGAATTAAAGGGGAGAAAAGGGAAGTTTTATGTAACGGGGAGACAAAGGGTCACAACCCACAGGCGGAACAAAGGAGAGTGAAGAGAATGGTGTGAGTTCCTGGGGGTCAGAGTGGGGGCACGAGACATGAATGGCAGACTGGGATATGAAAAGGAAGTGTAGCTTATTCTGCATACTCAAACTGGCGTTGCATCTGACACATGCTTAACTCTGAATACGCACTTGCTATTACCATTATTTTTCATTCTTTATATTAACAACGGAATCAAACAAATTTCTAGCAGATGTGTAGGCTATGGAGGATCACAATACAATGAACACTTCCCACCCTACTCGGGACGGTGCCTCATCCTCTGAGTTAGGAAAGGGACAGGAAGAGGAGACAAGACACGCAGAGAACACACATCGGACCTCTCCTCGGGCTCCTAGTCCACTCACCACCTCAGTTCCCCTCGTTTACTAGGACATTTCTGTGTCCGGAGAACCCCAAAAGGTGAAGGCAGAATGTAGTCCTAGACCTTGGGCAGGTCAAATAAAAGAACTCTCTGAGCCAGTGTTCTGAATTAAATAAGGAAGGCCGATTAGAGGTTTCCAAAGGCCCTCTTTGATGGGAAACTGCTCAAATCAAATCCTGTCCCAGATGAGTACGTCGTCTCTGATGGAAGAGAAACCGCCTTCCCCCCACCTGACCACGGATGGCTCCTTCCTTGTTGAGACCTCTGGGACAGGCTCACCTGCACTGTATCAGCTCCCACACTCTGACGGGAGCTCTTCCTGGAGTGTTTGAATGTTGACACTTGTTTCACTGCTTCAAGAGAGAGATGCATTTCTAAGAAGCATGGTCAATAAAGCAGGAGAGGACATTTTTATGGCCCTTCATCGTTATCAGGAGAGCTTCCCGATTCCATCCAAAAGGAGGAAAAGCTCTGTGCATGGAGTTCTCTGTCATGGCATTTTTATTAACTAAATACTGAAAAACTGCGGCCAACCAGCAGACAAGGGCTAGTCCTGAGACTCGGGCGCAACACTAGTATGATGCTCACTGCAATGTTAGGCAGATACTGTAACAATCACAGAAAACGGGGGCCATGTTGGAAGAGGGAAACGAAGCACATCTACAAAGAAGTCCACCTTGTCCCCATGCATTTCTTCCTCCTCCTTCCTCTTTTAGTTTCTCCCACGTTGCTGAGGACATGGAACAATGAGTTGGTTTGTGAGGCTAATGACACTGTGGTGATTTCCTTCTGCTTCTATTACTGTGATGGGGAGGGGACGAAATCAAAGCACCAAGAGAGGCAGAGAAGACACTGCATGTGAGTAAGAGCTTCTTGGGCCTGGAGCTGGGCCGGTGCCTTTTTCTCTCCGTGGGCTTTGAATGTTTCCATCACCACCCTTGTGTGCTGGGGTAACAGTGTGGCTTTGAGCTGTGAGGTCAGGGAGGCTGGCACCCGGCAGGTAACTGACTAATCCTGTGACATGAACAAAACCTTCCTTTCCAACGCAAGGCTCCGTGCCTGTGGCTTTCCAAGGAGCACGGCGAGAATGACGTAGTCCCACAGCGAAAGAAAGCAGTGCTTTCAACTACTTGTTTTACAAAGTGCGAGGTGACGCTGTAAAAGGATATTTAGTACCAGAAAAAGTAGGCCAAGGGTAAGAAAAACTCCCCATGCCCAGGAGAGCTCAGCTGACCAAATTAAGTCCGATCCAGAATAAACAGTTCTCATGTGGAAATCGGGCAGTTTCAGAAAGTGCTGTCCAAGGGCAGAAAGGCCCATGATGCTCACCCGCATCATTATGTAACCCGCTAGGAGAGGGGAGTGCCACCCCACCGGTGCGTAGGGAAAAGCAAATGTGAGAAAACAGCAGTTCTCAGGCCTCCAAGAGGACTTTGTTCCTGAAGAAAACCAGGCTCATGTGCCCTTTCCCATGAACTTGGCCAGCCTCAGTCGGTTCTCCCTGCACCCCCAGCATCCAAGGCCTAAAACAGGGTTTCTATTATCAAATCCCTCCAATAGAAATAACTTTCAAATAGTTGTGTGAGGGAGCATTGCACTTGAAGGAATTCGTTTGAAATGAAACTAGCTTAGTTAGCCGTTACGAACAGGTCAAGACCATTCCATACTCATCTAAGATTCAGGTTTTGCCTGAATATAAACTAAGACAAAGCCTGAATATAAACTAAGACAAAGGAATTTAGAATATTGCCAAGAGTGGCAGAAGTACTAAGATAACAGATCTAAGATGGACGGTTAAATGGGGGGGGGGGGGCGGGAGAAGGTGACTAATGAAACTTCTGATGAGAATAAAGAATGTTAGATTGGGTTTGACTTTTTATCACCAACCATGCTACAGTATAGGGGGGTGCAGCCCTACATAAGTCCTTACTCTCAAACACATCGATCACTGTGTAGAAAAGCACTCAGGCCAGTCAGAATACTCAATAAATGGTTGGTCAATTAACCAC